CTTCAAGTACTCCTACGTAAGTGCCTGAATTCTCAGATAGTGACTTCATGCTTCTTGTTTAAAGGATAGAAGGCGTGCTTTTGATTTAATCTGTCTTCAATTGCTTTAAATAAGAGAGCTCGTGCTTTTCCTGTTTTTGCTTTGTATTTCTACAACATTTTGAATAATTTCTCTGGAAACAGGTCAGAATCTGATGTTTATGGCCAAGCAGCATCCAATCTGGTTGCAGGAAGTCACTTAGAGGGAGCAATTCAGCAAATTCTTGATATGGGTGGAGGGACCTGGGATAGGGATATTGTTGTACGTGCCCTTCGTGCTGCTTATAATAACCCTGAAAGAGCCGTTGAATATTTGTATTCTGTAAGTACTTTCCCTAGGTCGTACTTAAAGACAGTGAAGTGAGTGCTTTCTTGATGAGTGCATCCAGTTGCCAACTTACACATAGGGTTGTTGACATTTTGTTGCTGCCCTTGTTTTGTTGTTCTTTCCTTCATGTAGATTTGGTAATAGTGTAATAGGCTGAGCTCTTCCTAAGAGGTTTCCTGGGTACAATCATTTTATTATTTTTATCATTTATAATTAGATGTAATTCTACTTGCCACGTTATTTTTTCCCTGGTGTGATCTATTGGTGGATGATGATTAAATTTCCATGCACTGAAAGATCCTTCCTTTGTTCCACTTTGCTAGGCCTTTTCAACTTGGTGTCTTAGTTTGCATTTTTTGGTGCAAAAGGTGTGCTATGTGTAGAAATTTGTAAAATCTTTCTTTGATGAAAAGAATTTGAAGAATCTTTAAATCATATGCCTTACATAAGGAAAAGTGATATTCATTTTTGTTCCAAACCAAAAAATAAAAAAAAAAGAGAAGCAAAAAGGAAAGTTGGACTTGTAGACCATGGTGGGTTCTAACTGACATTTTATACCGCACTATTGGGATTTCTTGTCACTGTTCTATGGTGTTACACTGTCTTCTGTGAATTTGTTGAGTTCATGTACCTGAGTCTTTACTTTACTCAAGACAGTCTTTCTTTTATTAGAACAAGCATTCATTTTGTTTCCTATAATTCAGCTTTCTTCGTCTCATTTGATTACAAAATTTTATTGCAAATGTTAGGGTATCCCTGAGCAGGCTGAAGCCCCACCTGTGGCCCGTGCCCCTGTAGTTGGGCAAGCCACTAACCCTCCAGCACAGCCTCAACAGCCTGCACAAGCGGCACCTGTTCCTACAAGTGGGCCCAATGCAAATCCATTGGACCTCTTTCCTCAGGTAGTTGATATGCAGTAAGTATTTGATAAACTAATGATGGAGAACTTAAACATTAACTTGTGGTCTTTTATTGGTACAGGGCCTTCCCAATATGGGTGCAGGTGGTGGTGCTGGGGCAGGCACTCTTGATTTTTTACGTAACAGTCAACAGGTCTTTTGCTGTCTCTCTCTTCATATGATGTATATGCACTTGTGGGTATGACTGACATGTAAAGACCTACCTAGAACTACACTCATTTTACCTTTCTCTGTTTCAGTTCCAAGCTTTGCGAGCAATGGTGCAGGCCAACCCACAAATACTGCAGGTTATTCTCTGGTCCCTTGTTTCTGCTGGTAATGTGTTTTTCGTTTTTTTTCCCACCTTTTCTGAAGAGATTTTGTTTATTTATTTTTGCAGCCTATGCTTCAGGAGTTGGGGAAACAAAATCCTCATTTAATGAGGCTTATTCAAGAGCATCAGGCTGACTTTCTTCGCCTGATTAATGAACCTGCTGAAGGTGGAGAGGGGTGAGTCTTGTCATTTTCGGTTGCTCATTTCTTGAACCTAATTGAGCATGCATATCACGCTTATTTTCCATCTTGTGTGTCTTAGGAACATTTTGGGGCAATTAGCCGAGGCGATGCCACAAGCTGTACAAGTGACGCCTGAGGAACGTGAAGCCATAGAACGGGTAAGTCATCTTTTGCATAAACACTTGCTTGGATGTGTGCATGATTCCCTGTAATTATGGATTATTTACGTATCTTCTCCATTGCATGCCGAAATTTAATCACCTCATTCCGCTCCTATGGCCTCTCTTTTCATTTTGTTGCTTTGATCTTGTGCCTTCAATATTATATTTTATAATGTCATTTACTCGCCATCTTTTACAGCTTGAAGCAATGGGCTTCGATCGAGCGACCGTGCTCCAGGTGTTCTTTGCCTGCAACAAGAATGAAGAACTGGCTGCCAACTACCTTTTAGATCATATGCATGAGTTTGAGGATTGATTTGGTAAAGAAAATATCTAGGCGAAAGTACATTTTTTTTTCTGTCTTTTGTTATTCATCTCCGTACCTGTCTTGACTTTTATTTCTTAATCAAGTGATTGTGAAGTGTTTGATGCAGACGCAAAGGATATCAAGATGTAACTTTCTTTTTAGGAACCCATTATAACGTTTATATACAAAGTATCTTCGTAAATTTGTGTATATTTAAGTACAGATTTGCATGAACTTGTTTGCCCTCCAAGTTTCATAATCATTTACCGGACCGCATTTCCTCATCCTTGCCGTCTCAGTTATAGTAATTTTTCATCGTTACATCATTTATATTTGATTTGTTGTCATTTATATATTATCAGTTAAATGTTATCATCCCGATATCAGAGACGAGTGAATCAAATGTTATTGCCTAAGATAACACAGACGAGATGGATTGATCATGTTAGCTCCTTTCAATGTTATTGTTCCTTGGGCCTGGAAAATATACAGGAAAAACCGATGACAGCACTACTTCTGCAATGGCCCTTGGTGTTAAACGGCAGCAAAGAATCTTTGCTGAGAACTCTTGAGGAACTTTGGGTAGTACATTTGCTTCTCCAAGTCGTCTTGCTCTCTGTCGGCCGTTACTCTACTGTACAAATGACGAACACGCATTAACAGCAGTGCAGTGACGGCAGAAAAGAATTGATTACTTGATTAAAAATCAAGGGGGATGATGGGCATTTAGGAGGGACTGAAATGTTCATTCAATGAGCACTTAATACCAAAATGCGAAGAGACCATGCGCTCATGTTGGAATTCCCATCACCGTTTTTGTTCATTTGTGCTGTTGCGCAGGATAAGATTAAAAGCATAATAAAATGTGATGATTTGACATCATTGACTTGAACATTTAACATGTGAGATTAAATTATTTTCGATCAACATGAAAATGATCAAACAAATGTAGTAGGAGATGAAATGTTGGTGATTTAGTAGGGGATCCCCTAATGTTATTGTTCCTTAGTGCTGTTATTCGGATAAGATTAGGAGCGCAATAAAATGTGAAGAGGTCATGTGATTATTTATCCGAACTTGATATGATTTGAATTTAATTTGACGTGATTGATTTTTAATTTTTAAAAAATTTTTATAATATGTTTTTATTTCAATGCTTTTTTTAATGTTAAAGCTTTATTATTCATGGAATTGTCATTAAAAAAAATAATACTCATGGGATCATTTTGTATATACCAAAACGCGAAGAGGCTGTGGCTGTGTGCCATTGTCAGAACTCCATTAGTTTTACTATTCATTTGCCATGTGCTGATAAGATTAGAAGCATAATAAAATGTCACGAGGCCGTGCACTCATTCATCTGAATGTCAAAATATTCAGAACTCGGAATCACTTGATCCTGATTTGACGTCGTCAACCCCTTAATTAACTTTTATCCCTTGCAATCACGCTTTTATTTCAATCATTTTTTTCTTGAAAAAGAAAGAACACTACACTTAACACGTGAGACTAAATTCGTTGCGATCAGTGAGGAAATGATGAATCAAACGTAGTAAGTGCGAAGGAGTCCACATTTCTCTCCCACTTTTTCCTCCGCGTGAAGACCTCCAAGATGTGTGAAAGTGACCCAAATGGAAAACTGGGGTTGAAAATATCTATCATATCCTACTTTCCGGGTCAAAAGTTGGTGGCAGAACGGATAGGTGCTGGTGGTCACAATCGGATTGACTCCCCTTTATCATGCCCGAGACAACTGCATGGCCATGGTGTATTTGGGGTGCAGCACTAATCTGGCAAAAACACTGGTTTCGGGTTTAAGGTTGGAGTTATCCAAGCTTTCGGTTTCTTCGTGATGAAACGCATGCAGGGCAACAAAACAAAAAGGAGAAGAGAATCATTGTATATATTAAGAGTGCTATCGTCTATCGGTTTCTCTTCGTTCTCTCTGCGTTTGTCATCTCTTATGTCATCTCTATTATTGCTTTCCTTCTGGACTTTCGCAGTTTGGAATCGGCCATGATAATTATAGCACTAAATGATCTTCAATGTATATATGCTTCCACAAGATTTCTTAAGGGAAAAAAAAAGAAAAAGGATAACCCTATGTAGCCTGGTCAAGCAATGTTATATGTACACAATTATTGTTTAATTTGTTAATAATAAAAGAACAAAAATTTAACCCTTTTGTTCTCAACATGTGTTGCGGGTGCTGCATATATGTAATCATGCTGTGAAATGGATGGTTTAACTTCAAAAGATATTGATAAGATTAAGGTTTTTCGAATAAGTTTATTTTTAAGTTATTCTAAAAAATATGGTTTCACGTGTTGATGTATACGTAAACCAATTAGTTTAAATGGAAGTAGGGCAATAAGTCTGAATCGAATTTTAATATTTTAAAATCTAATTAAGGTTTTGAGTCTTTAATTAAAATACTAAGAACTAAAACAACTCAATACTAGCTCAATAATTGTATTTTTTTAAAAAAGTTTAATTAATTATTGAATAATTATATTCTTGTTACTGCTGTACCAAAAAATGAAAATTATCTTGTTAGCCATTATCAGTAAGGCCTACCGAAGAGGAAGTGCTGTCAGAGTGCAACGTGTAAGGATTTGGATGGTTGTAAGAGTCTCAATCCCCAAATATTCCCAATCTTTTTCTTGTTTTTACGATATTTTTAAGGCCACTCACACTGCAACGGTGCTGTCTGTCTTCCAACAATGATGAAGGAAAGTCCAATTCCCTATTTCGTGAACCGATTCCTCACCTTCCCAATCTCCATTTCCTATATATACCCCTCAATAATTCAATGTGAAAACCACCCAAAAACAAACAAAAGGGAAAAAAGAAAGAGGAGATATGTATATATATAAACTTTGATTATAGGAACAGAAAAAGCAGGTAAGGTTGGAGAAAAGTTCACTTGTTTCTGTCCCTTACAGGTTTAAGTCTACCTGATTGTTTCTTCCTTTTTGACCAAGTTTTCCTGCCAGAAATTGCATTTATGGCATCCCCATTCCTACTGGTGATCAAAGAGTTGAGTGGAAAGTACTGAAAATAGAGCTCTACATTTGGCATATTGGAGAAAGAGGGGAGAGAGTGGAATTATGGAGAAGAAAGATAGCTTTGGTAGTTCTGAAAATGTGGCTGATCAGCAGAGTGACAGACTTGTCGATGAGAATAAGGGCGGGATTAAGACAATGCCCTTCATCTTAGGTAAGCTTCCTTTATAGTTGATAGCGGTTGAAATCTAAGATTGTTTTTTGTTTTTAAGCTGAAATTACTTGATGCAGTGAATGAAATATGCGAGAAATTCGCAATGGTGGGATTCAGCAAGAACATGGTTAACTACCTGACACAGCAGCTTCATATGCCACTGACGAAAGCAGCCAACACTGTCACTAACTTCAATGGTACCTCCAGCTTAACGCCATTGCTTGGGGCTTTCATTGCTGATTCATATGCTGGGAAATTCTGGACTATCACTCTTGCGACAGCTATATACCTACTAGTAAGAGATAGATTCATTTTCCCATTTATTGTTTTTAGAGATTTTCCTGGAATGCATGTTACTTTCATTTGTGGGAGTGATTCCGTTGTTTTTATAGTTGGGAAGAAGCATCGAATCTTAGCCAAAACTCAGTTGAACTTTCCAGGATAGGCTGCTAAAATTTGGTTCAATCAGTTTAACATAACCGAGTGTTAAAATTTTTCTCCATCTGCCCAGGGAATGATAAGCCTAACACTCTCAGCAGCGCTGCCACAGCTAAGGCCACCACCATGTGAAGGTAACCAAGTTTGCCAAGAAGCCAATGGCAGACAATTGGCTGTTCTCTACCTGTCTCTTCTACTTGCAGCCGTAGGATCAGGCGGGATCCGGCCATGCGTGGCGGCGTTTGGGGCTGACCAATTTGTTGAGGAGGACCCTAGGCATCCTAAGAAAACATGGGTGTTCTTCAATTGGTACTACTTTGTATTGGGAGCCTCAATACTATTGGCATCAACTGTGCTTGTCTATGTTCAAGACAATGTTGGATGGAGCTGGGGCCTCGGGATTCCCACCATTGCCATGGCCTTGTCGATAATCGTTTTTCTGATTGGTTACCCTCTTTACCGAAATCTGGATCCTGCCGGCTCCCCGTACACTCGTGTGTTACAAGTCTTTGTTTCGGCATTTAAGAAGAGAAAGATTCCCTTGATTTCTGATCCTAAACTTTTGTATGCGAACGAGGAGCTTGATGCCTCAATTTCCACTGATGGTCTGCTTATTCATACAAAACAATTCAAGTAAGTTGCACATTTTAAAAATGAATAGTTGTCAAGTTGTTAACCAGCCTAATTTCATAATGATGAAAGTTAAACCGTCTCTAACTCAACTTGTACTGCAGATTTTTGGACAAGGCTGCCATCGTGACCGAAGCTGATTTCCTCAAATCTTCAGAAAAACCGAATTTTTGGAGACTGAACACCGTTCATAGAGTTGAAGAGTTGAAGTCTATCTTAAGAATGTTCCCAATTTGGGCAGCTGGTATTCTCTTTGCAACATCCTCTGCTCAACAAAGCACGTTTTCACTTCAACAAGCCAACACAATGGACAGACACCTCACGAAGTCCTTTGAAATCCCTTCCGCCTCCATGTCCGTCTTCGCCCTCTTCTCCATGCTCATCACAATAGTCTTATACGACCGCCTGCTGGTCCCTGTTGCCCGCAGGTTAACAGGGCTCGACCGAGGCATAAACTTCCTGCACCGGATGGCTATAGGCTTTTTCATTTCAATACTAGCAACTCTAGTCGCTGGATTCGTTGAAGTGAAGAGGAAACATGCAGCCTCAGTGAATGGTCTTATTAACAGCCCAAAATCCACAATTCCCATCTCAGTTTTCTGGCTTGTGCCACAACATAGCCTCCATGGCATTGCTGAGGCTTTCATGATGATTGGTCACCTAGAATTTTTCTATAACCAAGCCCCGGAGAGCATGAGGAGCACAGCTTCAGCTTTGTTCTGGACATCGATCTCGGCTGGGGACTACACAAGCACACTCCTGGTTACCCTAGTGCACAAGTTCACCGACTGGCTTCCTAATAAGAACTTGAATAAGGGAAAGTTGGAGTATTTTTACTGGTTGCTCACAGTTTTGCAAGTTCTAAATATTGTATACTACTTAATGTGTGCAAAATTTTATACTTTCAAGCCCCTTCAGAGTAAGAAAACAGAAGATTGCGGTGAAGGGGTTGAGCTCGCTAGCCAGGTTTAGCTTCATGCACTTGCTTAATCACCATGATTAGGAACACAAAGCATAGCTTTGTACACGAAAAAATAGCATGGTTAATGTACACCTGGCTAGAACATATTGCCAGCCATATATGGCGACCTTGTTTCCTCGTATATAATTTGTCAGTAGTTCTGAACTTTGTGCTTGACTCAAACCAATAAACTGGTCTAATACTCAAGCCCAAATTGCACTTGGATCTGATATATATAATTGTAAAATTAAGTGAAGCTCATGCAAAATGTCAAACTCCATTGACATGTAGTTTAATGTAATGATACCATAAAAAATGAGTCCAACCTGTATCGTTTGTTTAATATAATTTACAATTGAACAAGTGATTGACTGATTTGCCATGACTTTCAAACCCTCATAATTTTAAGCTACCAAACCATATTGAATATTGACCCTTCATTGAATACATACAAACGAGTCTTATCTCTGTACACCATTTGCATTTAATTAAGTATTTTCTCTACTATTTGTATTTAATGATTGATGATCGTTGATAATTTATATGAATGCATACGTTTCATTACAAATATTAATATTTTATACTTTTGTCATTATTGACAAAAACGATGCATTAACAACTAACAATTATGTTAATAGTAATGAAAAAGAAATAAATTAGATTCCTTTTCGTTTTTCAATTATCAAATTGTTAAAAGGATTTATATTTGATGCATTGTCTCTATATTCATCATATATTTATACTTATATTTATATCGTCTCTGTTTTTTTATATGTGATCTCTGCTTATCTTTCTATTCAATCTCCAGTGTTAAGATAAATATATAAATTATTTAGCTTGAATTTATATATAATAGTATTATCTTTAATAGTCAGAACAAAAATTACAGCTCATTGGGAGTATAGGACAATGACCCAAAAAGAAAAGAAAAGAAAGAAGACACAGAAACATATACCAAAAAGTTGCACTAGATTTACACATATCTTAAAGAATCAGAGATTGTGCGGTGTTCTTCTCAGAGCCAGACAGTATAGCATCGGCAAGAGAAAAGAGACCAGTTAGAGCTCAACAAGGCTATTGACATAACCAACAATACCTGCTTTGCTATCAATGTTAATTTCACCCAAAAAATTAGAGGCCTTTTTCTTCGTGTCGTAAGAATAAAATGTGTCCCCATTCCGAAGCAACACCATGTCACCACTTACAAGCACCACACTTCCAAGACCATGACCTGGAAAATTGATAGGAAGTACCTAGATTGATGTCAGATCGGATTTTTAGGCAGGTCCTGGCATGGCTGTGCTATCGCATGGTATTCGAGTGAGTGTTAGACAGCACACTCACATATAAGCTCCGACCAAGTACATAAGCTGCACAAAGCTTTCCATTCATCATGCCCCGAGATGCAAAAGAGAGGAGCTGAGACCGCTCTGATGTGAGATAAAATGTAATAAGTCCTTGACTCGACAGCCAATAAACAGTGCCATTCACATGAACAACCGACTTCGGCAGGTGCTTCCTATCACCAACTAAATCTCACCAGAAGTTCTCCGTGATCCTTTTTCAGAGGAATATCTGTCAAACTCATATCCACCAAGTTCAGATGGAAAGGCACAAACCAGCTTATAATCAGCAATGAAGTTCAGCAATGACGGTTCAAATAGGAGCACTACAGCATGGTTAGGCCCATGATTAGCATCTGGTTTTGGAAGTTTCATCCAATGCTTGGTAACAGGATTGCACATATAGTAAGCCTGGCACCCAGTACGTCCCTGGCAACGCAATAGCCCATTGCAGGACGTCCGAATATGAACAGGTTCAGGCAGAAACAGTTAAAGATTGGTCTGGAACACCATAAGCCATGGGATCCAGAGACATGAATGATGGCTCGCCTGCTTGTGTTTGATAAAAGAAGCCAGAGGTAGAATGGAAATAAATTGATTGATTGTGAGCAAAGAAAGGTGTTGATATTTGATGCTTCCATTCCCTACAAACTCCAGTGCACCGAAAAAGCGATTTAGCAGGAAGGTAACGAAGAGCAATCTCCCCTATTATATCTTTCAGATCCATGTAAATCGTGCTTTTGTTCCCATAGTTAGTCAGTTTCTTTCTTTTATCCCTTTTAACTCGAGCTTTCCTCACCCCACAAGCTGCAACCTAACCTCAACCATATAAAACTGTAAATTATATATATGTATAAAAATTAATACTAATTTTATTCATAATCTAATTCTAATTAAATAATTGGTATATTTATCTCAACGACTAGAAAAATGATCAACATTTATCTTAACATCGAGTATGAAATCAGGTTATTGGAAGACACCACCAATCTTGGTATACATAGCCAATAATTTTATTAAGGTATTGAACACGTACGATGTAAGGGAGAGACTGGTGAAAACCAGTCAAGCTACAGACAAATTACAGCAACCGAGGAACAAAAGCAAATGAAATACACCAGGACAAAGAACAGGCAGGCATTGCACCAAACAGCATCCGTAATCCTGTTTTTTTATTGGTTACTCACTTTATCGAAATCTGATTCAGGAAGAGAGAGGCTCTCTTGGGTTCTGGTTCAAACTTCTTGTGTTGGAATGAAGAACTTGATGCCTCAATATCCAAAGATGCATGGGGTGTTTCATCATATAATAATTTGTACGAGAATGCAGATTTTGTGGACATGGCAGCGACTGTAACAGAAGAAGACAACCTCAAATCATCAGAAAAAAAAAAAAAACCCCATATTATCTTAAAATTCTTAAATTATTGTCTCGAAAATGATTACTTCAAACTGTGTAATCTAAAAAAAAAAACAAAAAAAAGGGTTGCAATTTGCCGACATTTGGGCATATATCAACCTTAGTTTTCGTGATGTGTTCTCTTGTGTCTGTCAAAGCATCCCACTTTCATTTCAACTTTTCCAGTATCAGAACTGTGGCTTAGCCAAAATCATAGTGAAAGCAACTTTTAGCATGAAATTGAGGACCACAATTTTGGCATTTGCTAACACTAGGGACCAAAATTATACTGTGGCGTTCATGTGAGTTGGAACAGAAATGCCTCCCCCCTTTCTTTTCAGCCTCAAAAACAATACCCTTTTGAATTTTTTTTCAAATGCATGCGCATAAGAAACCTGTTTTTATCTATTCTTTTTGCGTCTCGTCTCAACGTGATCTAAAACCATTCTTGACATTTTTGTGCAATATAGTCCAAAGCAAGAGAATTATTGTGTAATCTCCTGCTTATATTATGGCACACCATTTCGAATATAAATAAGAAGATTAAGATATATTTCATCCTAAATTGAATATGAATGTGTGAATAAGAAGATTAAGATTAACACGTATCTCATCTTAAATTAGATATGAATGTGTGAATAAGAATATTAAGACGTATCTCATTTTAGATCAGATACGAATGTGAGAGTTAAGATCAATATAAAGGTCTAAATCAATCATTATTAGTAATCTTGAATTAGATCGAAAAAATTATTGAATCAATAATACTTGAACCCAAATCATTACATATATATTATGTCGATTATAAATTCAAGAATTCTAATACAATATGTCTTTTAGACGTAAGGATTTCTTTTTTCTATTTAATGCTGTTGTTTTTTTATCAAATATGAAGAGAAGACAAAACATTAATTGCAAAATTCTTTCTACAACATAACACTTTCAATGCATGATTCCTTAGGAAGCAAATCTACTTTAAATATTTGTGATACGCTTGAATTAACATATATACAATATAAGAGAAAGCTAAGAAGGGAATGACTCCCCCCTGGCTTTTCAACAATTGAAATTTTTTCCTCATTTAAATTACTAATTCTCCATGAAAACTTTCATAAAATTCATCTAAATGAGTTTATAATAATATAATCAATTTTCTTATATAGCTTAAACTATGTGATTAAGGTAGTTTTCTTACGTACATATCACTGGAAAAGTCAGATCTCTTGACTAAAATCTCATCAAGATATTCCTAATGGAAATTTTCATCTAAATAATTCATATGGCCTCCATAGTGAAGAAACAAAAAATCCTTAATTAGAAGAATAAATAACAAAAACAAAAGAAGAGAGAAAAAGGAAAACCATTGCCATTAATTAGTACAATCTTGTCCTCTATCATGTGGGTGCCAATTAAGTTTCGTGTGGTCTCTTTCTGAAAAAGCCTCAACGTAAGTGTCATAAAGGCCGTTTTGAACAAAATTTTCAAATTAATTAAAGCAGTTTCGATTAAATTAATTCATCATTTGAACCCAAAAAAAGTATAATAAAATTTTATCAAGTGATCATCCCAGGGAAGGTCACAACTAATCTTCCAAACCAGGTCCATTTTTCCCCATGGGTTGAGACTTTCTTGACTCGGTTTCTTTCCCAGTATAACAATTAGGCATTGGCTTAACGTTCTCTTTACTAGTTCCATGTTCATTTCTAAGCTGGGTGATTGCTACCCTTCGATGGCTATTCTCCTCAGTCCACCTCTGGTTGATCCGGTGTAGATACGCATTAACTGTTTTTGAATACTGTTTAGTGCCGGGGGTGTTGTGGTCTTCATTTGTGTATATTCTGTTCTAGTTCGTATATGGTGTTTTAAGTGACGAAATATTTCCATTTGTTGGAATGCTGTTTCATTTTTTGTTCTATCGGTCTGGTTCGTAAGGTGTTGCAATGGTCCAAGACCTTACATGTATTGCAGAAAATCTACCTTTCGGCATGGAAATTGAAATTCAGGGTAGTGATAAAAGATTCCTCCACAATTCCAGCCAACAAAATAATTGAAGAAAGATCGAATTCTATCTTCTGAAATGACTCAACGACCCACCGTCAGTTCTGGGCTCATTTCTTTTTTCACTAAAATCAATGAGCACAAGGCACGCTGAAAGAGACCCTAAGGACTACGTGCCCTTTCTAAAGGACACACACATGCTGTCACCAGCCCCCACTTTCTCAACGTTACGTGCTCGTTTTCTTTTCCATTTACCCTGCCATGGTTATGCAACGAGAAAGCAGGTGCAACATACCCAAACTCAGAAATTAACATCCCTTTCTAGAACTCTATAAAGTGAAACAGATCAAATTGGTTCAGAGGCAATGGGGTTGGTCTTATCTATAAGAAAACGAAAACTTTTAAGGTCCACTTGGTCGGCTAAGTAGTTCGAGAAGGGTCCATCTCTAGACTTCATAGCCATGAGCCACCCCACTTGGAGAGTTACCCAGATTAACCAAGGAGCAGACAAATTATTAGCAAACTTAAAAGAAAAAAAAAAGGGAAACAAAAACAAAATAATGATGAAACAATTGATTTGATTTTGACCTGACTCAAATCATGGGAGACTGAGAAATGTTGCAACGCGTGGTAGAGACAAACCAGACCATTCATGCTACTTCCATCAAAGAACAAAAATGAAGTCCTATTGGTATTTCTATGTTTTGGTAAGAGATTTTTTTTTTTTGCTTCCATTTCGTTCTGATCGACAGCTATCCTGTCCTTGATTTTGCTTGCATCATCTCACACGTCAAGTCCATTAGAGTTTTCCTTCGTTAATTGCGGTGAAAAAAGATTAATACAGGAGTCATCTAGAAGATTATCAAACCCTTCAACGCCTTAATTAGTAGGTTTTTCCATCATTTTCTATGAATAATGCTGAAGCAATTCTTTGGCTTTGTGCTAAGCACTAAACATGTGTTCGGCCTTAGTGATACTTACCACACAAAGCAATAGCCCCCCAATGAAAGCCATTTAATTTTATTACTATATAATCAATTAAAATTTTTTAAAAGTATATGTGCTTTTAATTTATTGATTGGTACATAATTTTTTTATTTAAAAAATAATATTTAACTCTCCTTCTCTTAAGTCTCAAAAAAAAATTAAAATTTCTTAAAGAAATATCTTATACACAAGCATCGGTATGTAGAATAATAATCCTTTCTTTCAAATGTAAAATCAATAATTGCAAGCATTTTTTGTTAGATTGCTTATTTGTAAAAATGTTTGCATTGATCATACCAAATTGTTTCCCTTTTGGACCTAAAAATGTGGTTAGGCCAATGATAATGAGTGTTTGTAAATCAAGGAATTGTTAAGGTGTTTTATATACTATATGGGAAAATGTTTTCTCATTAGATAAAAAATATTTAATTAATTTAAACAAGGGATAAGCAGGATTTAGTCATCAAATTTTTTAAAGTTTGTACATATTTTAAATATATTGAGCTTTTATTTGGCTCAAATCGAATTAGGAACAAAGTAATGTTTTCATCACCGATGGTCCAATATTTATTTGGTTTAATCAACCCATTAAACAATTGTTTTTATACAACTTTTCAATTTTTTTTTCATTTAAAGTTTGAATCAAAATAGAAGAGTGCAATGATTTTGTGATGATTTAGGGCCAAAACACAAACAACATGGATGCCATGGAGAAGATGACATACTATGGGGGAAAAGAGTAGGCCATGTAGGGATAGTTAGCCGAGTAATGTATCCTTCATAGAATATTCAGTCCAATATTTCCTCCCTACCAAAAAACAAATAAAAAATAAATGATTTTTTCTGACGAAATTGAATATTCTGTATCTGTAATTTTTTTTTATAGAAGAAAAGTAACAGTAAATTGTGCAAGAATTATTGCTATGTGGGAATTGAATTTAATATCCTTTAGTCAAGTTAAAGCTAAAAATTTCATCCCCTTACCTATTTTTTTTCATCATTCTTCACATTTTTATTTTTATTTTTCAATGCTTCAAGAAGTGGTAGCACCCCATAACCCACCATACAAAAGATGACGAAATTAAATTGTCTGATATCTTATCTCCTTGTGGTTTTTGAACAATCTTTCTCATACAATTATTAAGAGAGGTTGGGTCAAGTCCATTCCCCCCATGTAGCAATTGAGGATAATACAAACCAACAACAACGATTAAAATAACAAAATTTCTTTGTCCCTTGCCTGTCCATATGTCACTTTTATATTTAATATTTGTGAAAGTTCACTGTCATCCATCCAACTCTTGACACTGCTCAATCTGTGGCCATGGATGTTTTGCTGTAAATTCTCTGTTTACAAGAGGTAAAAAACCCACTTCAATTAGCCCTTATAAATAGGCTTCCATGGACACCATTTCATTCCAGGAACACTAGCTAGCTCTAGAGCACAAAAATGGAGAAAATGGAGGAGAGTAATAAAAAAGAAAACAATGTTAAAAGGCAGAAGGGAGGAATGATCACCATGCCTTTCATTTTTTGTAAGTTTTGTTAATTCTATATGTATATATATATGCATGTGTGTACGTGCATGCTTTTATGTGTAATTACGTCTGTATAATGAATTATGAAATTTCTTATTGTGTTTTCGACTTTGGTTTAATTTATTGCTGGTTTTGTTTATGGGTGCAGCAAATGAGGTCTGTGAGAAATTGGCTGTGGTAGGATTCAATGCTAATATGATTAGCTACTTAACGACACAGCTTCATATGCCATTAACCAAGGCTGCCAACACTCTGACGAACTTCGGTGGAACTGCTAGCTTGACACCGCTGCTTGGTGCCTTCATAGCCGACGCATACGCCGGACGTTTCTGGACTCTAACAGTCGCTTCCATCATATACCAAATCGTAAGATTCATGAAAGAGATACTTAACCTTTGGCTTGTAGTCGAGAATTCTCGCTAGAGGAAGGATCAAAGATTCCGTGTTGCTTTATGTCAACATCAAGCGAGGCTTACCTTTCCTTTCCTTTTGGGGTTTATGAAGTCGTAATTATTAACAAAAGCTTTGCTCTTGAATCAGGGGATGACATCTTTAACTCTATCAGCTATACTTCCACAATTCAGGCCGCCACCATGTAAAGGCGAGGAAGTGTGCCAGCAAGCTACGGCAGGACAGTTGGCAATCCTATATGGATCTCTCCTACTAGGAGCCTTGGGGTCAGGAGGGATCAGACCTTGTGTGGTTGCATTTGGGGCAGACCAGTTCGATGAAACCGACCCAAAGCAATCAACCAAGACATGGAAATACTTCAACTGGTACTACTTTGTCATGGGGGTATCAATCCTGGTGGCTGTGACAGTTCTTGTCTACATTCAGGACAACATCGGGTGGGGATGGGGCCTCGGAATCCCCACCATTGCCATGTTCCTTTCGATCATCGCTTTCATCGCCGGTTACCCACTTTACCGGCACATGGATCCGGCAGGGAGTCCGTTCACCCG